TTGTAGACAAGGCAACAACATAACTCTAATGATTGTGGATACTATGTGATGAAAAATATGTTGGATATTGTCTCTGCTAATATAACCGAGAATTGGATGCAGGTACTAAAAATAACTTTACTTTGTTCTTTACTTTTTGTTTTTCGACTTAATATGAATTTTTAAAAAATAACTCTATATTGTTATATTTATGTATTATAGGTATTTGATGACCCAACAGAATTAACACCAGATGATTTGTATGATTTGTGACTTCGTTGGGCAAAATGTTTCTTTGACTTACATGGAACTTAAGTTTAGCTTGGTGAGTTTTATAGAATTGTATAAGTTGTGGTTTTTGCACAATACATGTGGTTTTTGCTCATGTGTTGAGTTTCTTGATTTTTTTGCTGATGTTAATTGTTATTATTTATTGTCAGGCAATATGATTTTGGTGTTGTCTACCGAAGATTTTATATTGGTAATTCAAGTTTGGAAACTTAGAAATAGTTGAATATTTTAGTATATGTATATTTTGTGAATATTATGTAATTGTAAGTTTTGAAAAAGACTTATAAATAGTTGAATATTGTTTTATATTTTGTGAAGAATTTGTAATTGTAAGTTTGTATGTTGTAATACAATACAAGTTTGCAATACAATTGTTCAATTTGTAAGTTTGTTGTGAAAAATATGAAAACATCGTCCTAAATGTGATATATGTGATGTTGGAAAGCTATGAAATCTATATAGCGACATAAATATAGTCTGTTTGATATTGGAAAAATATGAAAAAATGGGTACAAATTATATTTGTATAGGGAAACCCAGGAAATAAATAATCTATTCCAAAAAAATTTCATACATTTTACATCGGTTATTAGTAAAACTGATGTAAAAACTTTCAAAAAGGGACTTTTTACATCGGTTGGAAGTAATACCCGATGTAAAAAGTCGCGTTACTGGGGACTTTTTACATCGGGTATTACTTCCAACCGATGTAAAAAACTGGATCAATTTTTTAAAAACTGTGCATAATAACAGGTTATTACATCGGTTCTGATATTATAACCGATGTAAAAAAGGGACTTTTTACATCGGTCCCAGAACCGATGTAAAAAATCCCTGATTTACTATATCACCTGACTTTACATCGGACCCAAAACCGATGTAAAAAGTCAATTTTACCCGATGTAAAAAGTCATTTCTGCACTAGTGCTTCAAGGACTTCTTCTCTGCATCACGAAAGCTCATTTCTTCTTTGTACAAATGTTAATTCAATCTCTTGTTTAGTTGTTTCTGATGTAAAAAATTCTAGCTCTATCCTCTTGTGGCACTACAAGCTAGGTCATGCACATTTCTCATCCATTAAGTTGACTATAAAACATTGTAATATTCCAATATCCAATAAAGAAAACACTTTGTTGTGAAAATCTCATAGGATACATGCTTCTCTTACCTCAAGTGTTCATAGAGCTCCTTTTGATTTTGTGCTTACAAACCTTTGGGGCCCTACATATTAATGATCTAGTTATGGCTTTCTTTATTACACTGCATTTGTTGATTCATACACCAAGTAAATTTGGATGTATTTATTAAAGCACAATTCAGAAGCACTTTATGCTTTCAGACCATTCCTGAAATTTGTTCAAACTCAATTTTACACTAAGATTAAAGGCTTACAATTAGATTACGGGGGAGAATTTAGGCCATTCACTGAGTTAGGCATTTCAAATAGGATTACTTTCCCACATACTTCTCATCAAAAGGAAATGTGGAAAAGAAATATAGGCACGTTGTAGAAATGGGCTTTACATTGTTAGCTCTTGCTTTCATTCCTCTACAATTTTAGAACCCTAGCTTTGCTACATTTGTACATGTCATCAATAGATTACCATCTGCGAGCCTTTAAAAGTTTCATCCCTTTTATCATGCCTTTTACCACAAGCTACCTATTTATAACACTCTTAAAGTGTTTGGGTGTGCTTGCTTTCTCTTCACCAGACCTTAAAAAAACAAAAATTAGAATTTAGAAGTCAAGAGTGTGTATTTCTAGGGATTTCACCTCAACATAGAGGGTACAAGTGCCTAAACAAGTATGACAAAATATTCATTTCAAAATATATTATTTTCCATGAGCACTAATTTCCTTTTTCTGTCTTGTTTCCTTTTAAACGTAATACTTCTAGCATTAGTCCATTGGATAATGTTTGCTCTCTTTTCTTAGTTGTTCACAATTTCTCTTTAACTCCAAACTCTGGTATTCAATCCAATCCTAGGACACAACCTATTCCTGCACTTAGTGAACTTCATAGTACTTCTCACTACACATCTCAAATGTCTCAATCCACCAAACCAGCTCCAACACCTCCAATTATTCAAGTCAATTCCAACAACTTATCTAACATAGTAACTAGTTCTCAAACTTCCCATAACGTTAGTTGTTCTACATAGTCATTGTCACCCTCTATACATAGTTCTATACTCCATCTAGTTCTTTAGTTTAATGACCATCATATTCTAACAAACAGGTCATTATAACGCATGTGGAAGAAAGATATGTTAAGTAAGCACTCTGTCAACTAACTTGACTTCAGGCTATGTAACTTGAGTATGATGCACTCTTGGCTCATCATACTTGGACCCTAACCACTCTCCCACCTCATAGAAGACCAGTGGGATGCAAGTGGGTGTTTAAGGTAGAAGAGAATCATGATTGCAATGTGAATAAATACAAAGCTAGGCTTATTGCCAAAAGGTATCATTGAAAGTTAGATTTTGATTTTGTTGAGGCATTTTCTCTAGTTGTCAATCTTAGAACCATTCAAGTGATTCTTACTCTAGCTCTAACAAATAAATGGGAATTGCAACATGTAGATATAAACAATGTCTAAATTTCTCTTTACAAAAAGAAGTTTATATGTCCTAACCACATGGGTTTAAGAAGCAAGATCCTTCACTAGTTTGCAGGTAGCATAAAACTTTATACATGCTTAAGCAATCTCCCGGGACCTGGTACGAGAAGTTAACTCAAACACTATTTCACGTTGGCTTCATTCGTAGAAAATATGATCACTCCCTATTTATTTACTCTCACTAAGGAATTACTCTCTATTTGTTGGTCTATGAAGATGATATCTTGATCGCGAGTTCTTTTTCTACTTTGGTACACAACCCTTTCTCTCAAGAAATTGGGCACACCTGGATATTTACTAGGAATTTAAATTAAACATCTATCTATAGGGAGTCTCCTTCTCACCCAGACAAAATATATTTGAGTTCTTCTAACTAGAGCTAACATATGTGATGCAAAAGGTGTCACCATTCGTATGCTAAGCAACTACAAACTCTATAAACATGGGCCATCCTCTCTGTTAGGTCCTCACTTGTATCGTTCCATGGGGAGCACTTCAGTATGTGACCATCACGAGGGAAGATATTGCTTTCACTGTTAATAAAGTCTGTCATTCATGACTTCTCCTTTGAAATCTCGTCGGTTAGGTGCAAAATGGATCATAAGGTATCTAAGTGACACCATGAACCATTGTTTCTTGTTGTCTCTAATAATGCAAATTCTCTCTACGCGCCTATAGTGATTCAAATTAGGCGAGTGACCCAGATGATTGTTGCTCTACATATGGATCTTGTATCTTCTTTGTCCAAAATCTTGTGTCATGAAGCCCCAAGAAATAACCAGTTGTCACCAGATCAAGCAAGGAAATTGAGTAATCTTCCTTGACGTACACGACATCTGACTAAATTTGGTTGGAGTCACTTCTCGTTGAACTTATAGTTCCATTCCTTTTTCCTACGCTTTTATGTGACAATCTTAACGTTGTTCCTCTATCACATAATCTCATTCTTCATGCAAACACTAAGTTTATTGAGCTTGACATACATTTCATACGTGAAAGAGTGATCTCCAAGCCCATGAAAATCCAACATGTTCCAATCTCATTGTAGATCGCTGATACCCTCACAAAACCTCTCGGCATGACTGCTTTCCATGAACTTCGCACCAAGTTCAAAGTCATGGTTTTTACCCCCTCTATGATCATGTGGGGAATATTTAGAAGAGTACCTTGTAGGATACTCTCTCCATCTCATAAAAAATGTCTTATTTGAAAAATGTGCGGTTCTTAAGAAAATGAATGGATTTGTTAATTTTAATGATAAAAGTAAAATATCATTTACTAGAATATCCTTATTAATTAGAGTCAATATAGTAGTTGAATAAAGTGAAAGTTAATAAATATATATGAATATAATAATGAAAAAATAATAATAAATGCTGCATTAAAATTGTAAAGAGATAATTATTTTGATAAAGAAAAGAAGAAAAAAAATGCAAATGAGACACTTTCATGAGATTGATAGAGTAAGAAATAAGACATTACATCATAGATGTGTATGTATGAAACTCATGTATATCATCATGCATGTGCATGAGTACCATAGGTGAGCTAGCATGCATGTAACTCTTTAAATTTAAGAGCCATGAGTGTAAAATTTAACTATCATGAATACAATAATGCAATAAATTTCAAAATCACAATTCTATGAAATTACAATTTGAGTTAATGGTAGTACAATTAAGAAATACGAATAAACGATCAACTTATCTAATTCAACTTAGGCATATCTGATTATCTTAGTAATCACCTCAAGTGATGACTCATTTGCCTCATTCTAAATTTAACTATTTGCGTCTTTTGTCTAATAAATTATTTATGCTTAGATGTAAATAGATTCCCAAAATAATTTGATACAATATTTGAAAAGAAAGACACGATCTATAATAGTGAGTAAAGTATATAAAGAGATAATTACCACCCAAAGTATGAACGCATTAGATTCTAAATTAAAGTTTTATATCATGTTTAACGCGTGTCACCCACTATCTTAATTCTATAAGTACCTTTATCCCATGGCGTGTGCCTTCCACACTTACACACACCAATATCCAATATTCCAAAAACTCATACTACAAACTTCATTTCACATATTTATTAGATCTATCTATGGCAGAAATTCAACCCCATGCAGCTTCATTACCTCGTAGTGAATCGAAAATATACAACATGGATGTTGAAAACAAAGGAGAAGAAGAAAAGAATGATGAAAAAGACTATACTCAAAGAGCACAATGGCTTAGAGCAGCTGTATTAGGTGCTAATGATGGTTTACTCTCAACAGCCTCCTTAATGATGGGTATTGGAGCTGTTAACAAAGATGTTAAGACAATGATTCTAACAGGAATTGTTGGTCTTGTTGCTGGTGCATGTAGCATGGCAATCGGTGAATTTGTTTCTGTTTTTTCACAATATGATATTGAGTTTTCTCAAATGAAAAGACAAGGAAACACTTCTCAGAAAGATAAATTACCTAACCCTTATTACGCGGCTTTCGCTTCCGCCGTTGCATTTGCGGTCGGCGCGTTGGTGCCGCTGCTCGGCGCGGCGTTTGTGAAAGATTATAAGGTTAGGTTGGGAGTTGTGGTTGGTGTTGTGAGTGTTGCTTTGTTTGGTTTTGGATTGTTGAGTGGTTTTCTTGGGAAAGCACCTTTGGTTAAGTCTTCTTTTAGGGTTTTGATTGGTGGATGGCTTGCTATGTCTCTTACTTTTGGTTTAACTAAGCTTGTAAACCATGTTGGAGTTTGATCATTTTCATCAACTTTCCCTTCTTTCTCTTTTTAGTACTACTTAATTTATAAACTTTAATTATTCCACACATCTATAAGATAATTTGCATATGCACATCTTTTGTCTTTGTTATATATAGACACAATGTTTGATGTATCTTTTATGGTCTCAAGTTTTTTTTTTCTTTCCGAAAACAAAATGACAATGATTAATAAAAATGTATACACAATTGTGAGTATAAGAGTTCGAAACTTTAATATTAACTTAATAATATAATATCGGTTTTTGTTGATTAAGATAACATTTACAGAGAGACCTATAATTTTATGAATTAATAGTACTCCAACTTTACTATTGTTTTCCAAGTTAGGAATCAATAAAAGAAACTAGTTCTTGAATAGTGCTTACATGAAATTTCATGATAAACATGTCTAGAAGAGAGTTTGCCGTTGATTCAATCAAGGTTTATAAAATTAATCTTTTAGTGGATGATACTTAGTTTATAAAATAGAGACATTTTTATAAAAGGTTAAATATGTTTGTAATCTTCTTAAATATTTTATAAATTATGTTTTTAATTTTTCAAAATATATTTTTTTTTTAAAAATGGTTCTCATAAAAATTTCTATCCATATTTTTTATCCTTAATATTAAAATGTGTTGGAAATCTACCAAAATGTCTATGATGAATTTCTACCAATCTTGATGGACAATATTGATATCACCACACAATGACAATAAGTTATGAGAAAAGAAAAGAAAAAAAAGAAAGAAGACAATTATTTTTTGCAGAGTTTCTCTCTGCCCACAAACTGTGGAAAAACTTTGTTATTCACTTGCAACTGCAAATTCTGTGAATACAACTTAATTTACTTTATTACAAAAATTAGGGGTTACTTCCTCTATTTATAGATTTAGCTTGCTCCCTAAGCCCAAAACTATAAAAGCTCAAAATACTTATTTTGGTACTAAATCAAATCTATCTAAATCTAAAACAAATCTAATATGAGTGCAGCTTGCTTCGATCCACAAGCTCTTCGACTGGGCAATGACTTCCTTCGAGCAACCTACTTCAATCCACCTCTAAACCCTTCGACACACATAGTTTCGATACTATGAATTACAATTTAACACACCACCTAATTCACTGTGTTTAAACTATCTATATTCATCATGGTTCTTAGTCTTCAAAATACTTCGATCTGCACTCCCTTTGTCACGATGTCTGCAATCTGATTCTCAGTTCTGCAGTGTTCCAAATTCATCTTCCCATCTGCTACCTGCTCTCGAAGATAGTGGAACCTCATTTCGATGTGCTTACTTCGACCATGTGTTATCGGGTTCTTCGCCAGATTGATAGCTGACATGATCTTTCTCTGTTATCTCTTCAACCAAGTTCATCATCCAAGTTGCTTGACATGCACAAAGAGAAGCAACTATGAATTCTGCTTCGCATGATGATAATGCCACTACTAATTCCTTTCTTGAACTCCAAGCAACTGGTGCACCACCTAACATAAAGATATATTATGTTGTTGATTTTCGATCTTCAGCATCACTAGACCAACTCGAATTAGTGTATTCCACTAACTTGCATTCTTTTCCTTTATCAGCTGCAGGAAACAAAATGCCATAGTCGAGTGTTCCTTTGAGATACCTTAGTATCCTCTTCACCGCTGCTAGATGTGATACCTTTGGCTTCTGCATGAATCTACTTACCATACATACACTATATGCTAAGTCAGGCATTGTATGACAAAGATATCTCAATGACCCAATAAGTCTTTTGTATTGGGTTGGGTCAACATCATCTTCGTCTGCATCTTTCGAAAATTGCAGTCTTGGTTTTGCAGGTGTCGAAGTTGAGTTACATTCTTCCATCTCAAATCTCTTGAGAATTTCTCCTGCATATCTTCTTTGATGCATCATCAAACCTCTACTGCTCTTGTATAATTCGATGCCAAGGAAATATGAAATCTCGCCCAGATCAGACATTTCGAATTCCTTGCTGAGATCACCTTTGAAATCTTTGATCTCACTTTTGAAGTTACCTGTTATCAACAAATCATCGACATAGAGACATAGTATAAGCAATTCACCATTGCTTCTTCTTACATATACTATATGTTCAGTTGTGCACTTCACAAATTCCTTCTCCCTTAGGAAACTATCAATTTTCTTATTCCAAGCTCTTGGAGCATGTTTCAATCCATACAGGGCTTTATGCAGCCTGTACACCTTTCTCTCTTCGCCATGTTTCACAAACCCAACTGGTTTTAACACAAACTTCTTCGTCTAAGGGTCTATTCAGGAATGCACACTTCACATCCATCTGACATATGTGCCATCTGTTTATTTCTGCTAGACCAAAAACCAACCTAATTGTTTCGATCCTAGCAACATGTGCAAAAACTTCATCGATGTCTATTCCTTCTTTCTGTAGAAATCCTTTCGCCACAATCCTTGCTTTGTATCAAGTTACATCCCCTTTGGGATTCATCTTCACTTTGTATATCCATTTGACATCAATTGCCTTCTTGCCTTGAGGCAATTCGACAAGTGACCGAGTGTTGTTGTCTTTGATAGACTTTACTTCTTTGTTCATTGCTTTCACCCACTTTGAATCCTTTAATGCTTCAGCTGCATTGTCAGGTTCGAAATATGCATAGAAAGCATAATGTACCAACTCACCTTAACCATCTATCACATCATCTGATGTGATCACACAATCTTGGAATCTTGCAGGCACGCATCTTGTTCTTTGAGGTCTGCTTGTACTTGGTTGATCTATAACTGTTGGTTCCTCTTGTCGAACTTCTCTTTCGACTTGAGTTTCTGGTTCTTTAAGTAGGATTTACACTAAATCTTTCTTGAAATTTTCAGTCCAATCCCATTCTTTAAGCTCATCTATGATCACATCCCTGCTGATCACAATCTTCTTGTTCACTGGGTCGAACAACTTGTAACCTCCTGTCGAATGATATTCAACTAGAATCATTTGACTCGACTTGTCATCAAGTTTTCTTCTCAACTGATCTGGCACATGTCTATGTGCAATAGATCTAAATACCTTCAGATGACTCAAGCTAGGCTTCACTTCACACCAGACCAACATTCTTCAAGAGTAATTCCTTCTAGCTTCTTTGTAGGACATCTGTTCAAAATGTATGATGCAGTCGACACAGCTTCATCCCAAAACTCTTTAGGTAAATTTTTGCCTTTCAACATACTTATCACCATATTCATGATGGTTCGATTCTTCCTTTCCGCAGTTCCATTATGTTGTGGAGTATAGGTTGGCACCACCTCATGCATAATCCCTTCCTTTTCACATAACTTGTCGAAGTCTTTCGGCACATACTCTCCACCACCATCAGTTCTCAAAACTTTTAGTTTTCGACCACTTTGTCTTTCGACCATAGACTTAAACTTCGCAAATACCTAGATCACTTCACTTTTATTCTTGATCAGGTAAGTCCATAGATTTCGACTGAAATCATCTATGAATGTAACAAAGTATTTTTTACCTCCCATCGAATCCACCTGGATTGGTCCACATACATCAGAGTATATGACTTCAAGAATAACCTTCGACCTGCTTCCTGCATCCTTGCTGAAGCTATTCTTGTGCTGCTTCGCTTGCACACATTCCCCACATACCTCATTTGGAATATCGATTTCTAGCAATCCTGAAACCATATTTCTTCTCTTCAAATCTCTGATGTCTCTGAAGTTGAGATGGTCTAGTTGATAATGCCATATCCATTTATATCTGCTAGCTACAGTCGAAAGGCACTTGTGCTCCATCACATTAAGTTCGATCTTGAAGGTTCTATTTTGAGACATATGAGCCTTCAAGATTAATCTTCCATTTGCATCGATGACTCTCATTATCTTATCTTTGATCGACACTTTATAATTCTTTTTGACCAACTGCCCTATACTGAGAAAATTGCTCTTCATGCCTGGTATGTACAACATATTGGAAATTCATTGAGGGCTTTATATTGACAAACCAGTCTTTCCTTCCATACATATGTGATGAGCATCCTGAATCCAAGTACCATTGATTCTTGAGTTTATCTTCATCTCTTGTTGTGACCATCAGCATCATCTCTTCTTCTTCATGTTTTGCAAACTTTGTATCACTTTCTTGATTCTTTCATTTTTCTGGACAATCACTCTAATAATGACCATACTTCTGAAAATTGTAACATTAAATGTGACTCTTGTCAGGTTTTCGACCACCACCTCTTCCTTTATTTGCAACACCACCTATTTAGTTGCCTTGGTATGGTCTTCTTTGATTCGACATGTTTCCTTCGTTCTGGTTTCCTCTACCATTCGATTTGTTGTAGCTGCCTCTACCTCCGTCGAACCATTTTCCTTTGCCTTTGGTTTCTTTTGTTGAATGTGCCTGCAAAGCCACATCACTCTTTAATTTTCCTGCAACTCTTTCAGTCATTCTTTGTTCATGAGATTTAAGCGTCCCTTAAAGCTCTTCCTTTGTCAATTTCGAAAAGTCTTTCCCCTCTTCTATAGCCACCACTACATGGTCGAACTTAGGAGCCAAAGATCTCAAGATCTTCGAAACAAAAACTCTTGTTGTTAATGTTTCTACATATACCTTGATTTGATTCACTAGTTTTGTAACCCTAGTGAAGAAATCAGATATGCTCTCACTATCTTCCATTTGAAGCAATTCATACGTTCTCTTATGAGTTTGTAACCTCACTTCTTTCACCTTTTCTGCACCACCAAAAGACTTCTCAAGTACATCCCAAGTTTCTTTTGTAGATTATGAATCACTCACTTTTCAAAATTTTCTAGACTCACACATTGATGAATTATAAAGAGTGCTTTATAACTCAGTTTCTCAATTTCTATGTGTTTCTTCTTTTCTTCTTCTAAAGCATTTTCTCCAAATGCTTCGAATCCATCTTTTACAAGATCCCAAAGATCTTGACCCCTGAACAAAACTTTCATCTATTTGAACCAATTCTCATAGTTGTCTACTT